GAACTCACTGCGGATCCAGACATTTGAATTGAGAAAGCTTCCTGGAGAGGTGGCGAAACGTCTTCAAATCTTGGAAACCAAGTCCAGTGGATATTTTTTTTACTTTTACGGAATAGTGCAAAATGTATTAGTTTTGCATTTCCACGCAGGACACAATCTTTGTCTTTTTTTTATTAACCACACCTATGGAGCATCTTTTCATACAATACAGGGCATTATTGTTAAAAGTATATACCTCTGAAGAACAATTACCATACAAAATACAATCAACATAATGTTGTATTTTTGAGTCTGTTACTCATACTTAGTGAATATCCATCTTCTTCCACTTATTCTGTTAGGAAGGCGGTGGGGCCAGAGCCTCTCCAGCAGTCTATTGGCATAAGATGGTGTACACCCTGGACAGGTTGGCAGTCTTTCACAGGGCAACACAGAGACATACAACCTTACACACACTCACCCTTAAGGACAATTTAGAGAAGCATGCAAACTCCATGCAGAAAAAGCTCGGGCTGGGAATCGAATCCAGAACCTTCTTGTTGCAAGGCAACTGCACTACAAACTGCACTTCCCTGCAGCCTTAGTGAACAACAGCTCTGGAAGGATTTCACTTAGATATGATACGACTTCCTGTGGAGTTTGGACCATGGCTCCAAGGGACTTTTTTGTGTGTTCCGGTGGGTTATACATGTTTGCCAAATTTTAATAATCTTCAGTAAAAGCATTGCTTGGGGCTGCTTTACCCTTATCTTTTGATAAGTCCGAATTTGTAGACACACCCACATCCTGTGTCACAGCAAAATCTTTGAATACATTTGGATGAATAATGCCATAACTCTTTCTCAGTCAGTTAGTAGTAGTAGTAGAGTTTGCTGATAACGCATGAGATTTTAAAAGTTTTTCTTTGAACTTTATTGGTTCATTATCAGGTCATCAGATCATCTCTCGGTCATGCTTATCCCTGCATATAAGCCCTGGCTGATCAGGGCTAAACCGACAGTTAAAGAGATCCAAGTGTGGTCTGAGGGTGCCATGGAGACATTCCAAGACTGTTTTGAATGCTCTGACTGAAACATCTTCAAGGCTGCAGCAACATCTGACAACTTATTGAATATTGATGAGTATGCCATGACTGTGTCAGCCTACATCAACAAATGCATTGAAGATGTCGGCATAAAAAGGAACATAACCACCCGGGCCAACCAACCACCCTGGATAAATGGAGAGGTTCGGAAATCTCTAAAAGCATGGAACTCAGCTTTCAAGCCTGGTGATACACTAAGAACAGGACGTGCCAACTTAAACTGTGCCATCAGATCAGCAAAGCAGAACCACAGCCAGAAAATCCAGGATCTTTTTCACGATGACAGCAACACCAGGAGCATGTGGAAAGACATTCAGATGATCACGGACTACAACACATCCTCCACCCCGGTAGATGCAGCAAACACTGACTTTCTAAATTAACTGAACAACTTCTTTGGAAGGTTTGAGGCACTAAACAGCCTCTAGCAGTGAAAGCTGTTCCACACCAGGGAGGGGAGGAACTAAACCTGGACGTAGCTTAAGTGAGGAAAACTCTGAGGAGAGTCAATCCGAGGAAGGCCCCCAGGGCGGGTGTATAAGGAGTGTGCAGATCAGCTGGCTGGTTGCCTCATAGACATCTTTAACACCTCGCTGGACTGACCCATAGTGCCAGCATGCTTCAAGTCTGCGACCATTATTCCGGTCCCAAAGAAGCCTCAGGTCACCTCACTCAATGAATTCCGACTGACTCCATTGACTCCGACAGAACCGCTCCACTGAGGGCGCCATCTCTGCTGCTCTCCACCTGAGCCTGGCACACCTGTAGGAGAAGAACACCCATGTCCGGATGCTGTTCCTGGACTTCAGTTCAGCTTTCAACATCATCATCCCACAGCATATGATGGGCAAACTGAAACAGCTGAGATTCAATACAACCCCTAAAAAATTGGCTGCTAGACTTCCACACAAACAGACCTCAGTCAGTCCGGGTTGGACAGAACACCTCTGATGTCATCATCCTGAGCACAGGCTCCCCTCAGGGCTGCGTCCTGAGCTTCCTGCTGTTCACCCTGATGCTTGACTGTGTCCCCAGGTTCACCACCAATACCATTGTGAAGTTTGCAGACGACTCCACGGTGATGGGCCTCATCAGAAACGACAACGACCAGAACTACAGAGAGGAGGTGGAGCAGCTGGTGGACTGGTGCAAAGATAACAGCCTGACCCTGAACGTGGAGAAGACGAAGGAGATCATCTTGGACTTCAGGAAGAACCGTCCTAACCACGCTCCACTGCTCATCAACAGCTCCGCTGTAGAGGTGGTCAACAGCACCAAATTCCTGGGGGTGAACATCACAGACACCCTCACCTGGAATGTAAACACCACCTCACTGATCAAAAGGGCACAGAAGCGCATGTTCTTCCTGCAGAGGATGAGGAGAGCCCACCTCCCCCCACCCATCCTGACCACCTTCTACAGAAGCAGCATAGAGAGCGTTCTGACCAGCTGTCTCACTGTGTGGTGTGGAGGCTGCAGCGCCTCAGACTGGCAGAAAATGAGGAGAGGAGTAAGAACAGCAGAGAAGAACATTGGGGCTCCTCTTCCCTCCATTAAAGACATTTCATCCCAGCGCTGCGTGTCGATAACATCATCAATGACCCCTCACACCCCCACCATGGACTGTTCTCCCTGCTGCCCTCTGGGAAGAGGCTTCGAAGCATCCGATGCAGGTCCAGCAGATTCCATAACAGTTTCTTCCCCACTTCCATTAGACTGCTGAATGTTGTGTAAAATGGGTTATGTTATAAAATGTTATAACTGTAAATATAAAGTCATATGTTTATATTTCTATTTTTTATGTATTTATTACTGTTTTCAAGGCTGCACTTTAAAACAAAATTTCTTTATGTTTACACTTGTGTATACAAAATGACAAAATAAATCTGTCTAAGTCTGAAACAGATAGTGATAGATTTGATTTAAAAATGGCTGATTCCTGTGGAGTGTGTGCAATGGCTCCAATAGATGTTTTTGTAGGTCTTGGTCATTTATCTGTGAGGATTCTCAGTCATCCAGGTCATGGTCAAGCTTGAAAAAGTTCAGCCTAGGGTCTGGATGTGAAGATTTTTAGGAGACGTTTCATCTCTCATCCAAGAGGCTTCTTCAGGTCTAACTGATAGTGGGAAGCACTGAAATTAATATACTGTAGGTCTAATAGTCTTAGTAGTTTGTACATCCTTAACAGATTTAATAATTCAGAGTCAAAGCATTGTATGGGGCTGATTGTTTTATTATGGAAGTTTATATCTGGGTGATTGACCACACCCACATTCTGTGATGTAGAAAACTCTTTTGATAACTTTTGATCCCCAATGCATTTGAAGCCTCTAAGTTTAGAGCTGTAAGAGTAGTTCACTCAGATACAACATGAGCAAATCAGGGTAAGTGGTGCCTTTGATCCAAAATGGTTGAATCCCTGTGGGGTTTGGCCTATAGCTCCATCACACTTTCTTGTAGAACCTGGAGGCATACAGGTGGGTGCCAAGTTTCATAATCCTATAATTACGGCTTGGGCCTGGTTGTTTTGGTGTTTCTAAAGAAACACTAAAACAACTATAGTAGAGGGTTTTAGAGAAAATAAGTCACGCTCACCAAATATTGGGTTGGATTTCTGTGTGGGGTAGGACTAGTATCCGTCATAGTGATTAAGGTCTATTTGGAAATGAGAACCAAACGTATGGTCTTGGTGAAGCGCCTCACTTCGTCATGCTGCCATAGCAATGCCAGTTTACTTGTCCCTTACGTATAGTTAAAGGAAAATTCCGGTTTTTAACACTTTTAGCCCATTTTCTGTAGTGTCCAGGATGAAATCGAATGATCGACACCAACATTTTGACGATCGGTCCTGTCTCTGCTATTTGGCTCATGCAGAATCCCCCCCTGGCTGCTTCAGAATGGCTT